CTATAGTGGGGTCCATGAGATGAAGTTGTCCAATCTCACGTCGATCAAGCAAAAGCATGATGAGCCGGTGCATGAGTATATTCAAAGGTTCAGGGAGATGAGGAATAAATGTTACAGCTTGAGCTTGACCGATGCCCAGTTGGCCGACTTGGCTTTTCAGGGAATGATTGCTCCGATTAGGGAGAAGTTCTCATTGGAATATTTTGAAAGCTTGTCGCACCTTATATAGAAGGTATCTTTGCATGAACAAAGGTTTGCGGAAGCTAGGAAGAACTCTAGGAAGATTAATCATGTTTATCCTTATATGTATGCGTCGGATGATGAGGATGATGATTCTGAAATAGCTGCAGCCGAGTGGGTTAGGAGCAAAAAGGTTATACCATGTCAGTGGGTAAAAAGTTCTGAAAAAGAGGAGAAGTATGATTTTGATATTACTAAAGCTGATAAGATCTTTGATCTGCTACTCCGAGAGAAGCAAATTCAACTTCCTGCTGGTCATACGATCCCATCGGCTGAGGAATTGGGCAAGAAGAGGTATTGCAAATGGCACAATTTCTCATTCTACTAATGATTGTAAAGTTTTTAGACAGCAGATTCAGGTGGCTATTGAAGGGGGCAAGATTAAGTTCGATGACTCCAAGAAGCCGATGAAGGTCGATGGCAATCCTTTTCCTATTAATATGGTGCATACAGCTAGCCAGACAGTCGACAGGATCCGTGCAAAGGGTTTTCAGGTGAATTCGGCTAGGGTTATCAACAAATATCAGAGGAAATATGACAAGCAGAAGGACAAGCATTATGAAGAACACGATGATGGCTTTGATCCTCATTGGGGTTGTGAGTTTTTTAGATTCTGCTGGAATGAAGGGATGAGGTTGCCATCTATTGAAAATTGCCCTGGGTGCAGTGATATTGTCGAGAGTTCAAGCCGATCATATAACAGGGGTAATCGGCTGAGGCAGGCAAGAGTTTCTGTTCATCAAAGATTGGGTCCTGTGAATCAAGATCGTGGCCAAGAGGATGAGGTAACCAGGAAGAATCAATGGTGTCCTTCTGGTATTTTCACGAAGAATCAAAAAAGGAGGGTTCAAAGATTGAGGAGAAGGGAGCGCCTCCAGAAGGTTGAACAAGAAATTAACCATCGGCTGAGGAAAGCAAGACCATGACATGAGTGCCGTGTTAAGAATCAGGTTCATGCAGCCGATGACGTTGCAGCTGATGAGGCGAAGAAGTTGGCAAAAGGGAAGAGTGTTGTAACAGCACCAATTAACATGGTTTTACTTTGCCAGCTGAGTTCGGAATCGATCAAGCCGATGTCGAAGAAGTGGAACAGGAATCGGCTAAGTTGGTTCTGTCACCAGAACAGGCAGTGTTCGAGAAACCTGAGGGGACAGACAATCGGCATCTTAAACCGTTGTATGTAAATTGTTACGTCAATGGGAAGCTGATGTCAAAGATGATGGTCGATGGTGGAGCTGCGGTAAATTTGATGCCTTATGCTACGTTCAGGAAGTTGGGTAGAAACACCGAGGACCTCATCAAGACAAATATGGTACTTAAGGACTTTGGTGGCAATCCATCGGAAACCAAGGGTGTTCTAAATGTGGAGCTGACAGTCGGCAGTAAGACTATTCCTACTACGTTTTTTGTCATCGATGGGAAGGGTTCTTACAGTTTGTTGCTCGGAAGGGATTGGATTCACGCCAATTGTTGTATTCCTTCGACTATGCACCAATGCTTAATTCAGTGGCAAGGCGACAAAATAGAGATCGTGCCAGCCGACAGGTCAGTTAATGTTGCCAGTGCCGATTTAGCTCTTTGGGAGATGGATGGCCTTGATTGTTTATCTGGAAAGGTTTGGGATGGAGATTTTCTAAAAGTATCCGATTCTGATATACAGCCACTCAAAGATGGAGAACCGAAGCTATTACTTTGAGGGCGTCGTGGAGGGTTCAAACGTCTACACCGAGGACACGGTAGATGATCTCGATGACAAGCAAGGTCAAGGTTTTATGTCGGCCGATGATTTGGAAGAAATAGATATAGGTCCAGGCGATCGGCCAAGGCCGACATTTATTAGCAAGAATTTATCCCCAGAGTTTAGAACCAAGCTTATAGAGCTCTTGAAAGAGTTTAGAGATTGCTTCGCTTTGGAGTATTACGAGATGCCAGGGCTCAGTCGGTCAATCATTGAACATCGGCTACCTATTAAACCGGGGGTTAGACCACACCAGCAACCGTCGAGAAGATGCAAAGCCGATATGCTCGAACCTGTTAAGGCTGAGATTCAATGCTTATACGATGCTGGTTTTATTCGTCCTTGTCGATATGCTGAATGGATTTCTAGTATAGTTCCTGTTATCAAGAAAAATGGTAAGGTTAGGGTGTGTATTGATTTTAGAAATTTGAATAAAGCTAACCCAAAGGACAAATATCCAATGCCAGTGGCCGATCAGTTGGTTGACGCTGCTTCGGGACATAAGATATTAAGTTTTATGGATGGAAATGCGGGATATAATCAAATCTTCATGGCAGAGGAAGACATTCATAAGATAGCTTTTAGATATCCTGGTGCAATCGGCTTGTTTGAGTGGGTCGTGATGACTTTTGGATTAAAAAGTGATGGAGCCACATATCAAAGGGCGATGAATTATATTTATCATGATCTGATCGGCTGGTTGGTTGAGGTCTACATTGATGATGTGGTTGTTAATTCTAAGGAGATACAAGACCACATAGCCGATTTAAGAAAAGTTTTTAAGAGGACCAGGAAATATGGCTTGAAGATGAATCCGACAAAGTGTGCTTTTGGTGTATCGGCTGGCCAGTTCTTGGGTTTTCTTGTCCATGAGAGGGGAATTGAGATAACTCAAAGGAGTATTAATGCGATTAAGAAGATCAAGGCCCCGGAGAACAAGACAGAGTTGCAGGAGATGATTGGCAAGATTAATTTTGTTCGACGGTTTATTTCTAATTTATCTGGAAGGTTAGAGCCTTTTACGCCGTTGTTAAGATTGAAGGCCGATCAGCAGTTTACCTGGGGGGCAGAGCAACAGAAGGCTTTGGATAACATTAAGAATTATCTTAGTTCTCCTCCAGTGTTGATTCCTCCACGAAAGGGGATACCTTTTCGGTTATATCTGTCGGCCGGTGAGAAGTCAATCGGCTCGGTTTTGATTCAAGAGCTCGAAGGGAAAGAAAGAGTTGTGTTTTATCTAAGCCATCGGCTTTTGGATGCAGAGACTAGGTATTCTCCTGTGGAAAAGTTATGCTTGTGTTTATATTTTTCATGCACAAGGTTAAGGCATTGTTTATTATCCAATAAATGCACCGTTATATGCAAGGCCGATGTTATCAAGTATATGTTGTCGGCTCCTATTTTGAAAGGACGGGTTGGAAAGTTGATATTTTCCTTAACTGAGTTTGATCTTCGGTACGAGTCACCGAAGGTGATTAAAGGCCAAGCTGTCGCCGATTTTATTGTTGATCATCGTGATGATTCAATCGGCTCGGTCGAGATTGTGCCGTGCACATGCTCTAAGTCTGTTTGCGTAGTTATGGTCAGCCACACAAAAGAAACATGAATCTCTTCTCAAATATATTTGGAGCGTGTCTTGTGAGCTGCAGGAAAGTCTACCGTCCCAGCCCGAAGTAGATGAATTCCCAACAACTCCTATTCCTAGCACCACAAATGAAATGAAATCAACAACATTTCTGCTACCTCATGCGGGGAGTGTGTCCATAACCTAACAAACAATATGAGCCTAGCCTTATATATATAGTGTGTCAGGCTGTCAGCTCATATTAGCTATGTTCCCAAACTTGGGCAACTTTGGGCTGAATCATTGTGCGCTTGCCTTTGTTCCCTTTAAATTAATGCAAAAATTAACTATTGCCTATCATATGACAGATATAAGGATGTCATTTTGCTGAAATATATTGCAGAATCAACAACTTCTCCAATTAATACTTGCAGCGAAAAGGCATGTAATATAGTGGTTGAAGTGACCTGAGTAGCAATCCAAGGTTCTGAGTTTAAATATCCATACAATCGAATTTCATATTGGGTTATTTGAGGAGCTAAGTTTTCGATTTAAAAGGCTGCATATATCCTATTAAATATAGAGGCCGGGTAAAAAAATACATTTCTCTTTGGATAATGCCATTTATAAATTTTCAGGAGCTAATGGTCCATTAAAAATTCATTACTCCATCAGTCTCAAATTATGGGGTGCCCTCTTTTCGAGGAAAATTAAATTCGGTAGCTTTTAACTAATAATCATACTAATTATATAAGTATATACTAAATATTATGCATGTTATATCACTAGATTCATATTTTGAAATACTTTCATGTGATGCTAATTTCATATTTGTTGGGATCATAAAATAAATACTAGGCAAAGTATATTATTGAAGACCGTGTAAAAAAATATAGCCTTATAATTTACGCGAGAGAGAGAGAGTAGGGCCTGTTTGGGGGAGCTTCTAGCAGCTGCAGCTTCTCTTAGAATCTCCAGTTGTCAGAAGCTCCCTAAACAGTCCAGCTTTTTACCTAGATTCTGAGAATCTGTAGTTGTAGAATCTGTAAAATGAACTAGGGCCTGTTTGGGGGAGTTTTAGATTCTGAGAAACAGCTGGTTGGTAGCCAGCCTCCAAGAATCTGGAAAAGCTGGGTTTTCCAGCTTCTGGCTTCTAGTTCATTTTCTGGATTTTACAACTGCAGCTTCTCAGAATCTGGACCAAAAGGCTGGACTGTTTGGGGGAGCTTCTGATTCTAGGAGAAGCTACAGCAGCTAGAAGCTCCCCCAAACAGGCCCCTAGAAGCCTCCAGATTCTTAGCGGCTAGCTTCTCAGCAGTTGCTTCTCAGAAGCTTAAACTCCCCAAACAGGCCCTGTATTTCCCGATTTACTACTCAAATAAAAAAAATCTATGAATGGACTTGTAGGTTTGGGATGGATTGGGCTTAGGCCCGCCCTACTAATTTCAAGTGGGCCCAACACGTCCAGATGAAGGGGCCCACCCACCCAAAGTTGACCGCGATGTTACGATGGGCCTCCTCTCGACGGCGGCGGACGCGGCGGTGGTGCTCTTCTCCCTCGCCGTCGCCGCCGCGGCGCCCCTGATCGACGCGCAGGCCGTCCTCCCGCGCCGCCTCTTCCCGGCGCCCCTCGTTGGGCTCCACCGGTGGTACGCCACGGAGTTCGGCGACTACCTGGCGGCCGAGCCGCCGGGCTTCTTCCGCGGCCTCGTCTGGCTGGAGCTCCTCCTCCACTGGCCGCTCTCCGTCGCCACCCTCTACGGGGTGCTCGCCCGCCGCCCGTGGGCCGGCGCCACCGCCCTCGCCGCCGGGGTCTCCGTCGTCACCGCCATGGTGAGTAGAGTCGTCGCGACCAATTCTCTCAGATTCAAGTCCATGTTCGTCAGTGCCTTTGGTTTAGGGGGTATACGTATTTATATTTGGTATTGCAAGAAGCTGAGGTCAAATACTCAAATTCATGCTTTTAGCATTTGCTAATTATCTGAGGATTTAGGCCAACATGGGGAATTTGAAGAGGAAGAAGGGTACAAATATGAACTGGGTGATTGGTGAATTCGTTTTGTTAACTCGGTTTATCTTCGTCATTGCGACGTTGGGGTTTACGTAATGGAAGTTCCATTGTCAGGACTCGCAAGGTTATGCTTGATTTGCTTGTCACTAGACTTAGCTCAATTTTTATCTATAATTACTTAACATACGAGTTCATTTTTTTTCTTTGGGAAATATCCTGATAAGTTCTAATGTTCTACACACTGATGGGATGGGCGTCTTTTTAACAGTTGATGGTTGCCTGTCATGATGTGCCCCAGCGATCTGATAGTAATGTTGACATTCATCGATGCTATTGATGTCGTCCAGTGCTCTTTTAATACGCACAAATAGATTGAAATAGTTTGAGCAGTAATTTGTCTCGAAGTTAAAGTAACATTTTTCCTATTCTAACTTAATAGGAACTTTCCAAATTTTTTGTTCGATTTTGTCTTCATTTAGAAGTAGAACTTCAATATGTGAAGAACTCTCCATAATCCTAGATATCTTTCAAAACTATAAGTTAGCTTGCTTCAGAAATCTAATAAAATAGCAATGGGAGAATTTGATTGACAAAAGGGTATAAGAAGAACAGTTACTACTTACTATAACATTACCTTTTCTAAGTTAGAATCATGCATTCGCACGTTGATTGATTTGTCTTTTTTTAACGATCTGTTTTGAATCTTACCTTGTCATTAATCTTGACTTTAATCGTTTCAGTCTGCAGTACTCGGTGAGTTTTTGGTCTCAGGGCGAGCAACACATAAGCTGCTTCAGATGTATGTCCCTTTTGCTGTTCTTGCAGTCATTGCAGCTCTGCGCGGACTGGTCGTGTGGTCTTCGCAGGGTACTGGTTTAGCACCTGCACCTTCTTCTCAGAAGAAGAGGCCCTAAGGATTAATTTTATTTCTTGATCTTGCGGTAAATTTGTTTTTTGGTTATAGTCAATCATGTATTTCTTGCTCGCGTGTATTATTTACAGCAACGTAAAGATCCTCGTGAATGTTTTTGAACAATCAGTGTCGTCTCCAAAAAGGCAATGTTCCTACTTATCTTAGTTCTTTGAGAATTTACACCTTTTCAGCAAGCGGATCCAGCATACCTGTTAGGTTGAGAACATTTCTGTGATTATAGGCTTATATATAAGACTCTTCCTTTTATTTTATCCACTTTTTAAGCTCTATCGTTTCACTTATTCTTATGTCTATAAGCTAAAATTTAAATTTTGCAACTTAATTTTGGAGTTGATTTTGGTGTTTTTCATCATAGTTTATTTTACACAATTTGTTTTGGTATCACTAAGAACACAAATAAAAAAAGTATTACCCATTAATTATTTTTTGATTGCTAATAAGTTATGCGGATAAGCGTAAACATAAGCAAAGCGATGAGGTTGTTTGTGAGAATCTACAACTCGTACCTCTTTGCGTAGTTTCATTTAATAAAAGAGCTTCAGGACTTTGAGTACAATATTTACTCTTACTATATTAATTTTTATGAGAAAAGGTTAATCTGGTTTACATAGTAATTCTCTCTTTTAATAAGAGCAATGAGGGATAAAAACGGTGCAGAAACGGATGGAAACCACGTTATCGTTTTCGTTTTCATATTTTTTTTGGAATTGGAATCGGAATCGGAAACCCCGGATACGAAAACGGAATTAAATATTATTGAAACCGAAAACGGAGTGAAAATGAACCAGCGCGGATACGATAACGAAAATTTATCGAAATACAAAAAACCTTCAAAGCGAGCTTCAAACTTCGATGGACAAAAACTTCAAATAGACGGCAGGGGACGAGACGACATGAGATCTAGATGTGTCGCTTCGCCGCCCGGCTCTAGAATCTTCGATGTCGAAGCCGCCCGGCTCTAGAATCTTCGATGTCTTTCTCAGTCCCTCACTCTCTACTCTCTAAGTCTCTAGGTTACGTGAGGTATTATAGACTATGGGAGGTATCATACTGAATAGGCTGGCCTGGGGAGGTATTATGGATTATTTGTATTTTATGCGCCTGTAACTTTGAAAATTCCGAAAAAGTTTTTGGAAAGTTTTCGACCGATTCTGAGTTCCAACGGAAACTGCTTTTATCATATTCGATTCCGTTTCTGATAAAATATTTCTGAATTCGTTTCTGTTTCCGAAAAATTCGGACCGGTTGATTTCGTTTTCAAAAACAAGCTTGGAAGCCGGAAATATTCCATACCGTTTTCATCCCCGGTGGTGCCATGATTACTAGCGGCTTATGTAGTTATTTCTGAGGTTAATCAGACTTGTTCTTGAAATTAGCTTTCCTTTTTCTGAGCAAAGATAGAATGCCTGTTTATCTTAGCAAACTGGGGTATACCATAATAGAATCTCTTTTTTATCTCATCTGATAAATTATCTAATTTCATACGGTGCCATTCTATTGCAAATCAGCTGTGAAATCCTACCTAGCATATGCATAATTGAGTCTGGTCGAAATTTATCTATTTCGTTTTTAACTAATTGACTGTGTAATCAGAGCAGTTTGCAATGGTTTGACAGCCCCACGGTCAATGGATACAGTTGGCATCTCAACTAATGAATTTAAATGCAATAGTTTGACAGCCCTACGGTCAATGATACAGTTGGCATCTCAACTAACGAATTTAAGAAACGTTGAATGAAACTATTAAAAAAAATCAAGAAACATAAGCTGTGCACATCTACCTATCAAACCATACAGGGAAGCACCATTCGTGTCGTTAGAGTTGTGAGTGTACGACTCCATTATTACGGTTTAAATCCTAATTAATGTTCAGAGACTATGGTTGTGCATACCATTAGTTGGTGTAGAAATTGCAAGTTATACTTTGTAAAAAAAAAACATCAAACCATATGCACAGCTTCCGAGTCTTAACTCCTTTGCCTCAACCTCAAAGCAATAGCAGATTTGATTCTAGTGCATTCTATTTTTTTTTCTTGGAGAGGTAGTGTAGTGCATTTGTTTATTGTTTTGTACATCAAAACATGTCCTTTTTGAAACAAGAGTTAAACTTTTAAAACTTGAACATTAGTATCTTCTGAAACATTTAAGATTAGACTAGATACGCGCTGCAAATCTCCTAATCCTGCTCCATATCCGCTAATCACGCTCCAAATCCCCAATCTCGCTTTCCAAAAACCACGCTTTCTTTCTCCTCTGAAATGTATCTCTATATATACACGAATCGAGTTGGTGTGCAACTGTACATACTCGAGCAGGCAGAGCAACCAGGCCATCAGATATCTCCACGGTATGCAAGATTATTCAGACATGTTATCTCAGTCTTGCTTTATCTTTCTCATTAGTATTTGGAATATAGTGTTATCCAGTTTTTGTGATATATATATATATATATATATATATATATATATATATATATATATATATATATATATATATATATATATATATATATATTGTGTCCAGATCATTGGCATATTGGATTGTGCGGCTGTCTCGGTTGGATGACTATGCTCTCTTTCTAAAATAAGAGTTGAAACTTATCGGATGCGTGTTTATATTCTTGATGAGGGAATGAACAGGGGTGATAACATTTAGGTCTTAATCAAACTATTCAGTAAAATATTTATTAAAATTATGGCAGTCATTGTTCTTGCTACTTCTGAAATTGTCTTCGCATAGAAATGGCCCCAACGAATCTAAACCGAAAGAGAACGTATGCACAGTTTGGGCGCCGTGCAAGACCTGTTGCGCATGCAAGACCTGTTGTGCATATGTAAGTTAGTTGATGAATTGGTTAGACTTAGTAAGGAATTTATATTGTTGTGTTATTGACTGCTTGTTTGTTTCAGAAGGTTCAAGTACTTCGACGATGTTGAGTTTGATGATTGCAGGGTAAACTGAACATTTAGTGTTATTGTCATGGTAGAATGGTAGATGCCTAGTTCCTTGCCGAGGTTGATGGTGACAGACAACCCTTCATATTGATGGATGCTACTGTAAGTTTCATTATTTCAATATGAAAAAATATAAACAAAATTAAATTAAATATGATTGGTACAATTGTAGGGCTTGAAATATGCAATATGATCGGTACAATTGTAGGGCTCGAAAATGGAAGCAATTATAAGTAAAGAATATGCTACAAGGTTTAAAAATATTTTGATCGAAGGATAGAAATATACCATACATGGTGTTTACTTCCAACCTAATTCATGGGAACTCAATTTTCTGGGAATTAAAAGGGATTATGATTGTTTTTTTCTCCAAACATACTATAGTTGAGTCATATAATCTACCGCTGCAGTTTTCTCTCTATCCCAAACAATGTAATGATATGCCAGTACATTGTAACAGTGTAATTTGGGATGAATTTTCACGAAATTCAATGACTTGCCAAATAAGACGTTTGTGGGTACGTTTTTAGGAATTGTAGCTTATATTGCTGAAAAAAATGTTGAATTGTGTTATTGGTAATATACCGGCTTACAATATTTTACACGATGACACCATCAATGTCAATAAAAAAAATTGTCAGCCAGCATATCAACATTTTCAGCATTATAAGCTCTATTCCTAAAAACTTACCACAAATATCTTATTGATGTTATGACAAGTCACTGAATTTTGTGACTTAAATATCGTGTACCACCCACACGATATTAAGATCAGCTGTGGCCTGTGGATGGTACTCAACCACCACATATATGTTCCTGTATGGACACCATCTGCACAAGTAAAATTCAGACCAAACGGTCGAGATTTATTATTGGACTTGTTTCCTCGTGGCTATGGGGTATTCTTTTGTTAGGAGCATAGATGGTTGCAATTAGTTCTTCAAAAGGAAATTGAACAGGAGAAAACACACCGACCCATAGAGTCTGGCGGGCAGCCGGGCAGAATTATCCTCCATCTCCATTCTCCACGGAGACCCGCTTAACTAGCATTGGGGGTCCAAATTTGATGTACATTTGCGTGTTTGAAGTCTAGCTGGGCTATGATTACTAGATGAATGACAATCTTTTGTTCCTATCATGTGAATTAGTGATTATATGCCGATATATTGATATGTGTTATATTACATTTATGATATGAGATGTACATGCATTTTTAAGCGGGTACGAGGAGTGATAAATAATTCCCCCAGAGGGCAGGGATGGGAATCATGTTTCCTCAGTTTGGGGATGGGGAATTTTCCAACCAATAGGGGTGGGCTGGGATGGGGATGTATCCCCCGGCTGGCAATTCTGCATGAAACTGTCTCATTGTTCCTTGTTGTGGAACTCATGAGTCATGAAGTCTAATGTAGTAGCATATACGTGTGAGATTCTATATAACAATATCATCGTATGTAGTGGGTGACATAGCTTGTAACATAAGAATATTGTACTCGTTGTTACGCTCATGAAACACCTAACAAAGTAACATATACATATGAGATATTATATAACTAACACTAAAAGGAGTTCTCGGGATTTATTTATGTTTAAGAAATAATTGAACCTTAAATGCATGTTTGTCTATCTGGTCATCTCCAATATAAATAGGGAGAAACTTAAATGACTTTAGAAGATATTTCGTTGCTTTTCCATTGTCCCAATTGATTATGAGTCAAGCTCTAAATCTTAGTACAAAAGCGATGAGAAACATGTTTGGAAATGAATTAGAAGTTATAACTTAAATAGTACAAATTAAGTCTTCATGCCAACTTTCTATGAGTCACTACAAGACAAAAAAATATTTTAATATACCATAACTACTCCTTCAACCAACTTCCAAACTTAAATTGTTGCAATTAACAGAAGCATTATTTGCGGTAATGATTAGATTGTTATCCTCAAATGTTTCTCCCTCGAGTTTTCCAATAGTCTTGTCTACAAACTTTAAAGTCTATTTTGTAGTAAAGACTTTCATATTATGCATTCATATCAAATTACACATGTTGTTGTTTGTATATATTAAAATTTTGAACCTTACCTAGCTACTCATAGGCGCAAACTCGTTCTTTGGCCAGAGGAGATTGGATTTTCACTCTATAAATGGAAATTTAAAAAGTTGATGATATCAAAAGTCAAGCATAAAGTAACATTATAGTACAAACTTAATAGCAATATTATTTCGTGCTACATGTTCAACAAAAATATTATTTCATGCTACTACCATAGAAAATTATGATAAAAAACTAGTGGACTTTGCTAATGATTATTTCACCTTTTTACAAGCCCGTTAAGAGGGGACTTGTGCCCCCATGTTAAGTAAAAGGGGCATGTACCCTTTTTTTCTAGCTAATTACATTTTTTTTAATATCAACTTAATTAACTAATAAATATATTCAGATTACCTCTCGTACCTTCAGTCTTTCAACATCAAATAACCACCAATGAATAAAGTAAAGTCCCGATAACTACATCATATCATTGATTTCCTCCCACTCATAGACCCAACAAAAATTAGTGTAGAACTGGTATCCTTAAAGCATAACTAACATAATGTTACATTGTTGAACTGCAATAAATATTAATTTCGTATTTAACAATAGGATGCTTAGAGAGTTCAGATCATTCTACTTTCAAGTTCAATCCAATTCATCCTGCAATGCTTGCTTTGCTAAGTAGTTCCAACAATATGTAAATTACTCATTCAGAAAATAACCCAAGATATCTATATTGAATTGTAATGCATAATTGCGACAACGTGTGATAACAAGATATTTGGATCTTGCATTTGTCCAAGGATATATTGACAACAGATCGGCATACCTCGCAACCGTGCTCTGAAGGGTATTAGTGTGATGGCTAGAAGAGCTCCTGGTTATTAGCATAGTTGTGCTAGGACTTCTTAGCTGATGCTATAGTTTGTGCTTTTGAGTGGTTGTTGCTTAGACTAAGAGTCGATGACTTTGTGGTTTGTCATGTCATGTACATATTATGTTGCTTTGATTATTGAATTTTCAATGACTATGATTCTGGACTTTAATGTATTGCTTCAATGTTTGTAGGAATTGGCTTAGATTTTCTGGAACTTTGATGTTTAACACGTAATGTTACTGATCAAGCTTTTTCAAATTCACTGGGACCTTGTAGATGACTAATCATTGCACCATTCTCCATTTATAGCATTCAAGTAGCTAATAATGTGGTTCTGTCATTTGTAGTTTTGTACAATGAAGATTGAAGCTTGTGGAGCAGCTGAAATTTAATTTATCAAACAATGCTTCTGTCCAAGCTTGTGACGACCAAGGTGCTATTATAGTTATCTGCACAGTGAGGACTGAATCGGATTTTATTAACCATTCTTGTGCTTGCATTGCTTCACCATAACTCACCTTCTTTTGCATGATCATAATGTTACTCATGTCTCTGTATGCCGTGAGTTAATTTTGTGTTTAACTAAGTCAAATATTGGTATTAGCATTAGAGCGGTATTATTTTATTTTTTACTATGATGTTCTATTCAATTATTTTGTTTGTTCTTGTTATTTAATAAGGAGCACTATAAAGATGTGATGTAATTATTGTGTATTAAGGTTTTCGATACAACAAACAAACACTCGATGCCTATTTAAAATCATTTTCCTTAGTGTTTTTGAATTCATAAATATATTTTTTTCTCTCGTTGTAGGACACCCAATTAGTAGAGGAAGAAAAAAAGGGTAATCTAGTCCAAAAAATAATTTCAGCGTATTAAAGTGGTAAGTAGTGACACGTTTCAAATACCTATCAAATTATAATGGCATGATGATTTTAAATACCTATCAAATTATAATGGCATGATGATTTCAAATGGGTGAATTATAAAAACCATCAAATTAAATTTATAATGGGATGATCCAATTAATCCTTTCCCTTATTAAATTTGCTCGAATTTTGGACATCTGTAAGTTAGTACCTCCTCCTTTGACGGACGCGTCGACCATTTCTCCTCGTCGAGATCTCTCTATCTCTCTCTCTGCTCTGCTCCACCGGGCGTCGCGGCAATGGGGGTGGTCTCGGCGGCGGCGGACGCGGCGGTGGTGCTCTTCTCGCTCACGGTGGCGGTGGCGGCGCCGCTGATCGACGCGCAGTCCGTGCTCCCGCGCCACCTCTTCCCGGCGCCGCTCGTCTCCCTCAAGCGGTGGTACGCCCGCGAGTTCGGCGACTACCTCGTGGCCCGCCCCCCGGGCTTCCTCCGGGGGCTCGTCTGGCTCGAGCTCGCCTTCCTCTGGCCGCTCGCCCTCGCCACCCTCTACGGCATCCTCGCCCGCCGCCGCTGGGCCGCCACCACCTCCCTCATCGCCGGCGTCTCCACCCTCACCTCCATGGTAACTCACGCCCCCCTTCGCTCCCTCCCCCGCTGTCTCTCTGCTTCAGCGTTCGAGTTCATGTTGGTTGGGAGTAAATGGGTTGCTTCTGCATCGGATCTGCAACGCGCAGAGGGTTGATTTTATTTTTCATTTTTATGGGAACACACAGACCTAATCTCAGATTGATAATTTTATTTTAGAACAAAGTAATTGTCGTCCTCATGGATTGCCTAAGCTCACTTGTTTAGAGGGTTCGATGAAATTGCTCTATATTGTTTGTTGATCTGGGTGGACCAATGAAATTTCTTAAGTCCAACTCAATGCCGCGCGAATTGCTTTTTGATCCCATTTTAGTTGGTACTATTGTTTGTGTTTGTAAATGCTCATAGTGCGCTCCAAACAAGAATGTAGATATTCTTCTGTTTTATTAATGCCCTGCTCTGAAGCATTGAGTCATTCAGAGTGGAAATGATTAAAAGCTCGACTGATTTGAGCCTTAATCTTTCCATCCAAGGATACAATTTCTTTGTTTGTTCTTTTGGGAGTTGGGCATGGTTCTAATATAGTAGTCATGACACCTTGTTATTGGGCATAGTTTTGACTTTTGACAAAGCAATATCCAAATCCCCATCATAAAATCTTAACTGCAGTCGGCACTTGCTGAATCCCTACAGTGATGAGCCATAATGTTGGAAGAAATAATTAAGAGAACTACAACGTTCATTTATTGCATTGTTACATATATTTTGATAACGCTGGAAAACAGACGATTTGTCATTGTTTTTATAATTTAAATGTTCCTTTTGCTTGTAAGGTAATATTTTGATTAGATTTAGCGCATCTCTAATGTAAGAAAACATATAAAAGGTGTTTGAGTTTTTCTTTTTAAAAAAATTCTGATGATAAAAGAACTTACCATGCCAATGTGGGGCACGCAATCTATCTAGAAGCATGCCATGGCATGGTAGCTTAAGCAGAACACAAAGTTCTCTCTTGTTTTTATCCCATCCCAAGATACCGGAGAGTCTGGCCTATAAAATAGAGAAGCATGTAGCCCAGCACTTATCACCATCCACCTAGCAGCTCTGCCCAGATCCACTTTGTGTTAAGCCAGTTTATTACCATCCCAACTATCCACTCAATATATTTCATGTACTATGGATGTATTATCTGAAACATAATTACTTTTTTCTGTTGCGTTAATTAATTGTTTTATTTACTGGCTTCCATGGTGTGTTCACTTTACATGTCAATTTCACTTTCTGCACTCATAGTTGAGGATTTACAGTCTGTTTGATTAAATACCCAACAGGCCAACACATTTTCTTTGGTCAGTTTTTCCCTTTCAAATATACATACAATTTGTGACTTCTTATTACAAATTTGTCTTAGTTTCAAGTTTACATAACTGGTCATAGATTCACAGTGCAGAAGGAAAGAAGATTAGGAACAGAACAGTTAATGCTTGCCCGAACATTTATGTACAATCAATTCACTTTACATTTTTTAGCCCACCGAGCTTCTATATCCTTGTTTATCGTTAAGGAGCAAACTGTAGAAACGCCAGAAGACATTTGTTACATGAACGTTCAATCGCCATGCATGCTAAGTAACCTCAGTCAATGTCATTCCAGAATTCAGTCTGAGTGCCCTGAATGCTCATTGATGCCTCTTCTTCAATGCAAACTGCAAATGGATACAAAAAACAGGACAATATTGGTTACATAGGTCATGCAGTAATCAAGCATATCCTATAAAAAATTATTAGAAAATCAATTCTGTTTTGGAAGAAACAAAAAGATATTTTAATGAATAGGCATTCTTCTAATTTTCAGCTTTCATTATCTAAAAAATTTCTCCACATGTAGAATGAATTATATAATTTATATTTGATTCTTTTTAACATGGTTCTTTGTTCTGTAAATTTTATTTTTTATTTTTTATTCTTTATTATGGGTTTTTTTTTCATTACTATTTATGTCCTATTTTGAATTGGGTGCATGTGAGTGCATCCTAGTGGGAAGCATCAGATATTTTTCTAGCTCGTAATGAATGATGTAATGTCATCTACTTGTACTAGATCATTGTTTTGACATGTTTCATAATGTTTGTTTATAATCATTTCAGTCAGCAATACTTGGAGAGATTGTGGGCTCGAAGAAAGCGACACTAAAATTGCTTCAGATGTATGTTCCTTTTGCCGTTTTCGCTGTCATCGCAATTTTGCGTGGACTTTGCTCGTCTGCTCCGCGTGGTACTGCTGGTTCATCACTCGGACCTTCTGCTCGGAAGAAGAGAGCCTAAGATGCTGTTCCTGTTTACCTTACGTCAACAAGTGCCTTGAGAACCACTCATTTTTTTCATCTGATCATCTCACCGAATGCTTACTTTTTATGAAGAAGGTATCGCTGATGATGTTGGTCGTCTCACAATTTTCCCCTCGGAGCTAAAGCTTGTAACATCTTGTGCAGATGGCTTCGAATTACTAGTTTGTTTTTTTTTTCTTTATAAAGGATTGCTGTACTGTGGGCGTGTCACCAATGTAAGACTACGCGATGTTATGTATTCCGTCCATAGATGTAAACTTCCCGGGAGAAGTTACTATTTGGGAATGAAAATTTAGGAGAGTGGTATTTGAGCACTAGTAGTATTTTGGTAGAGTGGCAAATACTAGTAAATTCTCCCTCATACGGCATGCATGTATCCATCTATTTTGTACCAAAGGTAGTAACTTTCCTTCATCTATTTTTTACCAACGGTGGTAACTGACTAACCGCACGGCCTGATAATTATTACTGAGAATAAAAGAATTGTTCTGTAGCAAACTAGCATTCCAAGCTTGGATATTTTTTTTAACCATAATCCATCCACAAATAATCTGTTCAGCAGAGAATCATGTTGGAGGAAGTAGAGGCGTGCTGCTTAGTTTGTGAAAGAAAACTTTGGATCCTTATATGCTTATCCAAATTCGTAGCCAGAGATAGCAAAGAATATTTTATTATTTTGGAATAGAGGAGTAGATATCATGTTAGTCTAGATCAAGGTTTTCTTTGAAACCTATCATCTCTCTTTTTTTGAAGTACTAGATAAAATGCCCGTGCATGGCAACGGGTGAAGTTTATTTTAATCTTATTATTGTTATATGGTTTAGTTAATGTGAAATTCACTGTGGGAGTTCGCTTAGATATATGTTTTTCTAGAAAATCATAAGCTGGAGTGAGGAGTCCGATCGTCTCAAGTTAGCATGCGAGTTTTTTGAAGTTTATTTTAATCTTATTATTGTTATATGGTTTAGTTAATATGAAATTCACTGTGGGAGTTCGCTTAGATATATATTTTTTAGAAAATCATAAGCTAGAGTTAGGAGTCCGATCGTCTCAAGTTAGCATGCGAGTTTTTTTAACAGATTTCTTATATGATTCCTTATGTATTACCAAAAGTGAACGATCTTAAAAACCGACTCAAATACGAATATTTATTTCTAAAAACAAACGAATTTAAAAACTGACTCATACACAGATGACGTACCAAAATACCAGCAAAAACATCTTCAATTTTTATAATAGTAGAGATATGACATGGTTGATTTTTTAATAGTTTGTTTGACTATCATAGAAAATCATCGTAGACATACTTAAAAGATTTTTTTATGACAGATCTAGTGATTTCTTTTATTTTACTTAACTAAGTAATTGAATAAATAGTATTGGTCAAATTTTTTGAAGAAAAAAGAATAAAATATCAACTGCGAACTGTAAAATTCTTCTTTCCAAATAAAATTAGGTTCTTTGTTCAAGGGGTGAAAATGGTCATGAAAATTCCTGACCAAGCGAGCGTCATTTTCGTATAAGGGATTGGCAATGTATAAATTTTGTTTTTCTATTTCTTTCTGTATCGTATTAATATCGACACTGAGTAGTTTAAATGATAATTATCGATCGATCGAGCGTCGTTTCCGAAGAGATGCTACCGATTCCGACCATTTTCACCCCTAGGGCTGCAACTATATAGCCACAAAAAAAACTTTTTTCTTGAATTTATTTTTGAAATTTGTTCTTTCTCCACTCTCTTTCTCTCTGTTCGTTTATTATTTATTGTAAACCAGACTCTCAATAAACTTGGACATTTAACTATTTGCTACTCATATGTAACATATGATTTCATGGTTTCTCATTTTCTATTACATGTGGGTTCATATAGTTAACTGTCAAATCTAATAGTGGCAATCAGGTAAATATCTCCAATAAACCAGCCGAGAGCCCTGAAAACTCATCTACTCGCATCGGCCCCGCGCCGCCACCGGAGCGACAGCTTCCGTCGTCGCTTCGCCTTCGATTATCCCCATCCCATGCAAAGGCTGTAGCAGCGCTCAAAGTTGCCCATCTCAAATTTTAGAAGTTTTACAATATGATATTTCGGAATTTTTGACCAAAATTTAGAAGTTTTCGTCCAGGGGTATTTTGGTCACTAGGACAAATTTGTAGACGGAGGCTAACTGGACGGAGATGGTATATTATAGAAGTTAAGCAAAATGCGATGGCATATTAGAACTTGACAAATCCAGTGACATGTTATAAAATAGGGACAAAATCAGTGGCACAATGGATTCTCTCTTTTACGGTTGTTCACTTAACTACTTATCTACTATGGTGCAACATTTTTTTTAAAAAAAAATCAAATCTTATACTATAAATCCATATCTTACACATCAAATTACATACGCTTATAATACAAATTTCAAATTATACAATGCACTATTCGCATTTTATAGGAGAAATATGGAAAAACAAATTTATTACTTAATTATGAGAAAAAAAATTAGTCCAAATTAACATATATTTAAAAAATAAAAAAAAATGAAAGAATTAGGAAAATAGCAATATAGTTATATACATACTGATCATCATATATCATGCAGTGAGAAAAGGAGACCATGATCGAATGCTTTATTATTGAGCAAAATTGATGGTATTATTTTTATCTTTTTTTAGCCAGATCTATCTAACCATAATTAAGCAATCCGTGTTAGTAGAATTTTGTATCGTCCTGTATCAATATATCATGAGATTATTAGTAATAGCTAAGTACACCGACCCAACCATACTGTGCAGAGACGATAAATGGGATTGGCATATCACGAGACTATTGGGTAATGGACAACTTATCATTAATTGTGCTGTAGAAAAAAGTAAATTACATTTTGTACTATGTATTCTTAAAAGTTTTCAAATTATATCATCCTTTAATAATTCTTCTCATTTACACAAAATCTAACTTTACATTTCAATTTAGACCACCGCATTCTATCCATCTCCAAGTCCGGTTACTCTGTAACCATATCGCATACTAACTCTCTCTCCTTTTTTTTCCCCTTCGACAGTTGGGAAATCGTCAGATCTAGCAAGGAGGAGACCGGATCTAGCGTCTATGCTCTTCATCGGGTCAGCTCCTACCTTCCCGGGTCCTTGCAAGCCCAACACCTCCGACCTCAACGGCGACCATAAAAATAGCGTGCATGAAAACAGGGGAGGAGAAAAGACATGTCGGTGACTAGAGGATGCGGCTGCACATGCAAAGGCGGAGAGGAGGATGTGAGGAAAGATGGTGGCTCATGGAGAAAGAGCGGTGGTGGCGGTGCGTGGAGCGGCAACTAGTGGTTACCGGAGGTCTGAGGAGTTTGCTGTCGACAAAATTCTCAACCGAGTTTGTTGCATTTTTTTCTCTAAGTATTGCTGATGTGTGGGCCGCAGTCATCGTAAAGAAATAGCTAGTTTAAAAATAATAAAAAAATTGAGATAAAGGTGGAGTACTCGAGTAGGGACGAAACGGTTCGAAAACGGATGAAAACCACTTTTATCATTTCCGTTTCCTTATTTCTTTTGAAATCAGAACCGGAAACAACGGATACGAAAACAGAATCGAATATTATCGAATACGAAAATGGAGCAAATATGGTAACGGGTATTTATCGGACTATAAAAACTTAAGCTGAACTTCTCAAATCAATGCAGATGAGCTTCTCAAATCAATGAAGAGATATAGTTCAATATCTTTTCTAAAACAATAAATCAATATTTCTATTTTTTATCAATTAATAATAATACAACTAGTTGTACACTTTATTTTCTTGGAAAAATAAATTATATTCATCCATAACTGCAGTTATAAGTACTATGGCACATAGTATAAATCTAATTATTTAGAGTTGAAAAGTCTAAAGCTAAACAGCTGCATATGAGAAATACTTCGTTTCCAATTTTGAGAAGAAAAAAACTGAATGTGTTTCCGAAAAGTTTCCTACTTCGTTTCCGACAGATAGTAGCATTATCATATTCATTTTTGTTTCTGAAAAAAAAATATGTATTCTTTTCTGTTTACTAACAGTTTCATCCATGTAACTCAGGACATTTAGGCGGTGTTCGTTCCTGTGGGTTCCCAACCTATCTCACCTTGTTACGTGGCCCAGGTCTTGGTCGTTGTAGAGGCGACGGATGCTCTATCTGGCCACTACCCACCAAGAAGTAGAGATAATCTCCATCACATTGGAACCCGATGGTGTCCCCCATCCGGTTCTCCAGTTCGCAGGAGAATGTGGTGTGGTTCGCCTCTGGCTCCGGCTCAGAGGCAGAGCACGGAAATCCAAGGGAACACACCGGCGGCAAATCGAACTCTGGTTTTTATTTTCTTCTGACTCCACGCAACAGGGACTGGTGGTGGTCGACGTCCTGGTCCTGTTGGAGGAAGGCATGCAGAAAATCGGGCGGCGACCGCCTAAGGATACTCACCGAGTATGGTAGAGGCAATCATGGTAACTACCAATTTTCCGCGTATACGCTTTTCAAACTACTAAAGATACACGTTTTGTAAAAAGTTTATATAGGAAAGTTGCTATAAAAAATCATATTAATCTATTTTTAAGCTTTTTATAGTTAATACTTAATTAATCATATGATAATATATCGCTCCGTTTTCCGTGTGAAGGGTTGGGGTTCCCGGCCCTGGAAAGAACACAGCCTAATTACTTCCTCCGTTTCACAATGTAAGTCATTCTATCATTTCCCACATTCATATTGATGTTAATGAATCTAGATAGATATATGTCTAGATTCATATATATGTCTAGATTTATTAACATTAGTATGAATGTGGGAAACACTAGAATGACTTACATTGTGAAACGGAGGGAGTATTTGCTAAACCCTCGTGTGTTAATACGTTGGTAGCGTAAAAGAAAGAAAATCTGCCGTCTCGTCTGCTCCGCTCATCTCGCTGCTGAACAGGGGAGGGGAGGGGAGGGGAGGGGCGCTGATCTCCATCTCATCTGGCGAGGGGAGAGGAGGTGATCCTGGTGAGCATCCACATCCTCTTTCTGATTCATCTCTCTCTCCCCCACCGGGACTACTTTAATTTTGCTTGCGTTCGTTCGTTCGTTAACCCTAGCTTCTCTTCCAGATCTGGAAGAAGCTCTTCTCTTAATTTCAGAGAGAGCCTTAACCTTAGTAACAGTTTGTTTGTTCCCCGAAAAGTTCCCAAGTTGGATCCGCCCATGAATAATCAATAAAGCGAGATGGACGAACCATCATCATCATCATCATCATCATATCCATCTTCCTCTGGTGGGAAAAAGAAGCGACCACGCTCTCCTGGTCACAGCGATGAGCGTCCAGTGCACACAACCCAAATATACACAAGCAGCCTTGGTTCGTTACTCTCCTCGTCCAAATTTAATCGAACAATTGAATTGTTTTATGTTCGGTGATGATTATTGCTTTATATTTCAGTTACCATAAAGATTTATTATCTGTTTGATGATGCAGAGGACACCCTTACGTTCAGTGATACCATGATTGCTCTTCAACTGATGCGCACACAATTCCCAAAGCTAGAGAAGGTTTGCACGCACTTTGAAGGTTAAATTTCATATTCAGTTCTTGTCAAAACTTGATTAATCTGTCCAGTTTAAACTATTTGGTTCAATATGTTTTGATTGCCTAGATAGTTGTTTTCTGTAATTCACCCGAATTGCATCCAGTATCCACATAACTGCTGTATGATTTGTCATTTTTCACCAAGTGAATATCATCTCTTGTTTCATATGTTCTGAACTTGATATCTAATTGAGGTACTGGTAAGCAACTAAACACAGTTTATTTATACCTCTCAATGCACATATATGAATGATAGATTTGAGAAACAACCAAGTTAAGTTGGCTCAAGTGAGTCACTTGAGAGTTGAGACTCTAGATCCCTCAGTTGTGCCAATATGCTGTAGGTCAGGTGTAAAAAAGCACCTTCCCAAGAGATATCAGGCGCAAAAGAAACAAAAGTTGTTATGAGCTATATACAAGATTTAATGGAACCAAAATGAAAGTTGGGTTGTTATACTCTTTGTTACTACAAATAACTAAGACAGTCAGAGATTACAGATTTTTGCATTTTCTTTCAATTTTTATTATTAATATCTCTCTCTAGCTTTGTATTGCTAGGATAATCAGTGTCCAATTGGGCTTTATATTGAGCTTTTATCTCTCTCTGGACTAACATTTTTTTCTTAAGAGTCATTGATTGCCATTTGTGTGTAAACATTACATCCTGTTTTATATTCACTTGCAGGTTGTGACAGAACCATTCATTTTGCAGTCACAGTTGTATAGTAGTGTGAAGGACAGGACACAAGTTGATAGAGACCTTGAGGTTTGTCTTGAATTAATGTTATCATACCTTTAGTGTAGCATTCTAGCATGCCTATTGTAGATGCAGTGGAATCTGTCTTGCCTTTCTATTGTTTTCTAGCAGTTCTTATTTGAAATTTTGAATGTCTTTCATCTTAAATTCAGCATAAATAATAGATGATCAGTCATCCTCATACTGCACAAGAGGTTCATTGAGAATTTAAACCTTTTTTTGGCTGTAGTCCTTGAAGAAAGACAAAGTATTGCGTGTATTCAAACTCAATACTGGGCAGGATGATCATGCAATCATGTTCATGGATGATTATCTGAAACAGGTATCTCTTAGTACTGGTTTGGCATTAAACATGTATCTAACATTCTGTTTTATGCTCACCACCTGCTGCTATTACTGTAAAGGCGGAGTAGTCCTCCTTCCGTCCCTCCTCCCAGTGCACGCACAGAGCACACGCTAGAGATAAAAAAAACAAAAAGGCCGGCACATTCCCAGTGTTATTGGCCTGTTGCAATGCACGGATTTGTTACTAGCGCACACTAACACCAATCTAGTTTGGTGAAACACCATGCATCGAAATCGACATCATGGTGTTACATGGCATCATCCCACCATTTGCTATGGTAAAACGGTACTCAGGAACGTGTTTTTTAGCCAACCAAGATATTGTGCCTGTGTGCCAAACTTTCACATTCAAGAGTGCACTTCTAGAGTAGGTTAATGTCATCCCATTTTGTCTCCCTTGTAGAAAATTTCAACTCCTGCATAAACACTAAGAATCTTTATATCTAAGACAAACTAACGATATTCTGGTGAGCAACTGCACACATAAACAGTGATGGCTGTTGCAATACAGTATAAGTAGAACTGATATCGAACAGTAGTTACACACAAAATTTCTGTACGCTTCTGAATCTTGAAAAATTTTACTTGGTGTTGTGGCCATGTCCTTGGGAATTTAGCTTAGATTTTTAGTTGCATCATTTGTTAAGAAAATTGCTTGTTAATATGTTATAGCTTTATTCACTCATAATAAAATTTCAGTTTTATCTGTTCAATTCTAACTATCCAGGAGGAAACAGATAATTTACCACATTAACTTCATACATAATTTATCACATTAACTTCATACATTTTTACTTAATTTTTTGGTTAATTTGTTTCTCTGTACACTAAACATATGCAGATGGCGTTGGCAGTCAAGAGGTCAAGGGGTAAGGACCAAGATGGTACTGAAGTTTTTGGGTGGTTTGAGAGATATGTTATTCATTTGAAGCTTGAAGTTAGCATTGATCAGCGCGATCTGGTAAATTTCTGCCATCACACAAGGAGAATTGCTAGTTACTTCATATAGACAAATTTTGTGTTAACCTTTTGTTTCTTTCTGGCCATCAACATTACTGTTTATAGTGTCAAACCTAAATCCAAGTTTTAATATATATAGAACTTCGCTATAATCTGCCACAGAATATTTGGATTTTTTTTTCTATTCTTGACCTGACATTTTGACTTAGCCTATTGTTTTGTCATGTGCTAGGATTATTTGGGATGAAACAGGGTGAAAGGAAATAAATTGGATTATAATAGAGGAAAGAACAGAGAATGGCCCTGGACCTAAACGGCGCGATGCTCTCCGTCGAACCGAGAAGGCAGGGCCGATGGGCACTAAGATAAATCTTAATCTAATGCCTCACTGACCTGAGATAGGATCCCTCCTTATATAGATGGAGGACTCCTTAACCTAATCCTAACAGACCCCGACTCTATCCAACTGAGATACGTACTTATTGTGAGGTTGGGATATCGTTCCCATTGGGCCTAGGACTCCCGGCCCAAAGCCCATGACATGTTTCTCAAGTAAAGGAACACGATTAACACTTTTCACATCAAAAGATATCTTACACTAAAAATCTGTTAAAGATATCTAACATCTTTGGTTTTGTGTTGCAGTTTTCTCTGTTATCACTTGGAGGTGATGTAACTGACAAACATATCACATTACTGATGAATGCTGGTCTCTTAGTAAGTATTGTCATTGATGATGTTATGTCAGAATAGAAACGACAATAAGGAAATGATATTGAAAACTCTATACATGAGAAGAATACATGTGATGTCTTCACTAGGATAATTATTTTCATGTTTGTTAGTCAAATATTAACTACACATAAATTTAAACATAATTAATTTTCTTGATCAAGCATGCTTACTGTTTATACTATCTATTTTCAGACTCGCCAATTAATTGATCCAAACATGTACTGGTTTTCTATACCAAGTATTGGTCCCGTCTTGAAAGGCCTAACCCAGGTTTGTGTTTTCTTTTTCTTTGTTCAATGGTGTTTGTTGATCTTAATGCTTGCTAGCGTAGCTTGTGGCATGCATTCATTCATGCATGTGTATCGGTGAGGTAGCACTTAATTACATCTTTCTAGATTAGCTTGGTGCAGACCAATTTATAGGACCATGTATCATATATGCTGATCATATTAATTGTTAAACCTTTTGCACTAAGCAAGGAAAAATACACACAAGTTGTTCCATATGTTTCTGTTTTCTGTCCTATGGAAAAATGGGGTTAGGCTTGAGCCATTTTCGACATCCTGGGTTTTGCATATCGAATATCAGGATCAGGCATTGACCTTTGTAATATATACCTACTAAGGCATCACGTTATTTGCAATTCCATTGGGCAATATTGACCTTTGTTACATCTACCAAGTAATATACAGGCGCATTTGCATTCAACGTAGCTTTGATACACATGATTATGATCCAAAGTTAATTCAAATACTTTATTCATAACTACACAAGTTGAAGTCGATGGATCCCTTCAGTATGCAGTCCAGCTCTTTTTTGTGTGTTTCTAGATGTCAATAAATAAATGTTCATAATTTTTATTTATTTCTAAATCTCTGTTTGCAAACACGGATATCTTTCCCAAACTGTGGTAACTGAACTCTTGAGAAATTCCTGTGTTCTATATAGGACCTCAACAGAATTGTCAAAGTTGCTTGTAGTAATAAAAATAATTAGAAATTTTGACTATTTGAGTTTCTCATGGAGAGCAGGGAAGGAAGGAAATTCTTTCATTATTGAACCGCAAGAAGTACAAGGAGATGCTACTCTCTTCACTGGAGAAGACAAGATTACGGTTTTCACCTCTTGATGTGCGCTTTCACATTCGCGACTTAATTGGATCTGGGCACATAAAAACAGTTCAAACACCCACTGGTTTACTTGTTCGCATATCAAAAGATTGATAAATTCGAGTTTTTATTATTTGTTTGGTTATCTGCTTCCGGCCCTTACCTTGTGATACCTGCTTTAGTTTTCTGCTTTTATTTGCCAACATGAAAAACTTCTGGTACATCTAATAGAATTCTTGGATGCCCCTGATTGTTAGACCAAAAGCCTGAAATTGTCAAATCTGTGACTTAGCTTAGTAATTTCACTAGCTCAGTGTTTTAAAGTTCCTCGTAGAATCATAGGACTGAACTTCTGGATGAATAGCCAAAAAAAAAATGTTCGATATTTTTAGGACTGAACTTCTGGATGACTAGCTCAATATGAAGTAGGGCTGTCAACGAGCCGAGCTCAAGCGAGCTGGCCTCTCTAGGCTCGAGTTCGGTACAGACTCGAGCCGAGCCTCCTTAGCCTTCGAGTTTAGAGTTGAGCTCGGGCTCAGCTCGTTCTGAGCTTCGAGCCTCTTGTCGAGCTTGTCAAAAGAAGTTTAAAAAATCAACAGCCGGCATGCATACTGCTCTGTTACAGCACACATGCTACATGCATACTAGTAGTAGGAATAGCTTTTATGGGGACTTGGGTTTGAGAAAAGTAGAGCAGGTACTACTCATTTATTGGCCCTGTTTGGATCCAAGGGTTAGAGTTTGAGGTTAGAGTTAGTTTCTAGCTCTCAACTAACCCTGAACTAACTCTAGCCCTAGAGGTGTTTGGATGAAAGGGCTAGATTGACAATAAATATACTTTTCCAATCATTTGGCTCCTTTCCAACCGGATTTGATGTGGCAGACTCATGTGTGGCCTCCTCCCTCTCACAAATGACACAAACAAATCATATTTCAAACCAAGCATCCGAAACACGATAAATTTTATTTGTCTGTACAAATGAGATATCACACTCAACATACACGATAGGTAGTTTAGTCCATACAAATTAAGCTAGACAAGAAAAAATTACACTCCATAAAATAAAGCTTGAGCATTGGGTTATAATTTTTATCCTCATCACAGGCATCAAATTCCCTATCCGCAATTCTGCTCTCTCGAATGAAATTATGAAGAGCCATACAAGCAACAATAATTCTAGTTTGCTTTGCTTCTGGAAAACTTGGCATGTTCAACAAGATCCTAAATTTCATCTTCAACACTCCAAAAGATCGCTCTATGACATTCCTAACTTTGGCATGTGCATGGTTGAAGGTTTCTTTCATACCTTGTGGCGGCGGTCCATCGTTCCATTGCGCGACATGGTACCTTGTACGTGTGTATGGTGAAAGGTAGCCCGGCCGGTTTGGGTACCCCGCATCAACCACATAATACTTCCCAACATATTGTGAAAGTGAGGCACACAATGAGACTTAGATGAACAAGTGCAATTAAAGATTGTTGCAAGATAGTTCAAGTAGCAAACCTTTGAAAACTCTCATGTCATGTGCCGAACCAGGCCATCCCAACAATACAAAGGTAAATCTCATGTCGAAATCACAAACAACAAGCACATTCTGACTGGTTTCATTATGCCTGTTCAAGTACGGAACCCTCTTACTCTTAGGCACCACAACATTCACATGTGTCCCATCTATAGCTCCTATGCAGTCGTTGAAGTGTGGCCAAAATGCTGGATTTTCCAAGTTTGGGTGCACCTCTGAAAAAGTTGGGTCCTTGGGTACAATTATGTCATGAGCTAACCTAAGGAGGCATGTCAAAACTCTATTAAATGTCCTGCTTATTGTCTCCAAAGACCTCCTTAAACGGTTCTCAGCCTGTCTAACTGACTGTGGTGAACCAACAATCCATAAAAACATAGCAAGAGCCTCTATAGATGTCATTTTTGTAGTGGACTTCAACCCATATGACTGGACCAAAGTATTATGTAGCCTGTTAAATAAAGGTCTCTCTACCCTAAACATGTTGTAGCATTGGGTATCTCGGGCTAGTGTATCCATGACCCAATCCATACCAAAATCTCCATTGACCCTCTTAGGTAGTTTCACAAAATAGTTATCAGAGTACATACCCAAGATAGGAACCAATTGCACGATCGAATTCTCTGCATGCACCAGATTGTTGCGGCACATCGATATAATCTCATCCTCACTTGTGCTGCCTCCATCATCTTTTGCTTCCTCAACCATAGGGCCATGATCTTCTTCCTGCTTCAACACATGTAAAAAATTGTCAACACTCGAAAATAATATACAGATAATAGGTTCAACACACACCGATAATAGTTTCAATACACAGATAATAGTCTCAACACACAGATAAATAGTTCAACAACTGACACACAGATGATAGGTTCAACACACAAATAAATAGTTCAACAGACATATGAAAGCAAGACATCAACTACTCCAAATTGTTGTCCCTGCACCATTTCTTGAAGTAACCCAACCTAAGCTCAGGAGTTAATTGGCCACAGAAGAACTCTCTTTGATACTCTGTTTCGAACATCTTGGACATAGCATAGACAGATTCAATGGTTTGCTCTACGCCACACTCAAATGCCAGCTCCTGACACCTCTTGACTGAAAATGCAGCCTTGTCACTTGCACGTTTCTGCATTTGCTTAGTGTTGACTATGACAGCTTCTTTGAAGGTACTGGCTATGTCTTTCACAATCTTCACCATTGGGCTCTTGCTCTTCTTCATTGGACTGGACAAAGTGCTTGTAGTGCTACTTAATGGCCTCTTGCCCTTTTGGCTCTTGCTCCTCTGGCTGCTTGTACTACTAGGTGTTGGTTGAAACTCCTCGTCCTCTTCCTCTTCCTCTTGCCCCTGGTCCTGACCATAATCATCTCCAGGCACAAGGGTTGTGCTTCCATCCACAGTGTACCCTCTGAATAGTTGATCAAGCAACTCCTCGTTTTCTGGAGGACCCCATTGCAGCCTCTTTAGTTATGGTTTCTTCTGCAGCGATAAATAAAATGGATGAGCACATATGTACTATACTAGTGCACAGATAACTGAATTACATGCTCATATAACCTAAATTACAGAGTACTGTACTATCATAAAGGAAGAGTATAGTTTATACAGCGCACTGTACTATCACACAAATAACTATCACAATTCGTGTTGTGTTTACTAAGCAAATGTTTTTATAATAAGGTTCCTCGTCAAATTTTTGCCTACTTAATAGCAGAAAGTTAGTAACTACAACAGTAAGTCAGTCCTATGAGAGATCAGTTCATTGGACAATTTTTCGCCCACTGGAGCTAGCAACACTGAAATTGGGCAAGCACTGTACACAATTTGAAACAATTTGTAACTAGGAAACTGAAAAATAGAATACACAGATTGGCTGCTTATACCTCTGTATGTGTTTTCCAGAACAAAGACTCAGCATCAATGGTTCCATCTGGTAACCTCCCCAACCCTGTGTGCGCTTGCAAGTATCGCCAGAAAGAGTGGGTGGTTTTCAGTACGAGTATTTGGTTCTTCACCTGGCAACGGGTATACACCAACCCCCTTCTATACCCCCTTCTATCAAGTAAGCCGTCGACGATGGCTTGGTATCCTTCACCACTCATTTGTGCACCATTATACGTTCCTACTCTACGCTGCTCAATGCACAATTCTAACAAGCAAGCATTATTAACTTCATTCCATTAGGCTCGACTAGCTTGGCTCACCGGGGGTCCGCCGGAGCTCGCAAACTCCTCCACGTCATCCTCCAATTCTTCATCTTCATTGTTGAAGGGAGCGTCGGAGCTGGATGCTTGCCCACGGACGGCACTCCTCGGTGCCCGGGGACGCGGTAGGCGCTGGCCGCTGCCACCGGCACGTACCGCCGTGTTGCTGTGCTGGCTCCGGCGGCCAAGTGCCGTGGCGGCCGAACTCGAGTGCTGCCAAACGCCTCTCCCCGAAGACAACCCGCCTGGGAAAGCTCCACCATTTCCTCCTCCGCGACCAGCTCCTGCCGAGGAGGAGTTGCCAAAGTTCAGTTGCCGAGTCAGATTTGGAGTCGCCCTTCCGTCTCCGACTCCGGCACGCGGTGGGCGATAGGGAGGGAGGCTGGAGCCCCTACCGCGGCCAGTGAGGAGCTCGTCGTCGTCGCCCTGGAGGAAGGCTCCGTACATCCCAAGCCCCGGGAACCCCTCCGCCGCCGGCGCTTGCGAGTTGAGGTCGAAGCCGGCGCCGACAGAGGAAGCAGTGGTAGGGCCGCTCGCCGACGGCTGCGAAGCCCACGCGCTGAGGTTGTCGAAGCCATCTCTGTCCATGCGTGGTCGGCAGCACAGATTGGTGGAGGCGGCGACGCGGATGGTCGGAGGCAGCGCGGCTCGGGGTGTGGCGGTGGCGCTGAGATTGGCCGGCAGCGCGGAATAGTGGAGGCGGCGGCGCGGTTGGACGGAGGCGGCGCGGCTCGGGGCTGGCGGCGGCACTGAGGTTGGCCGGCGGCGCAATTGGACGGAGGCCGCGGTGCGGGTAATGGGGGAGGCCGCGCCACGCGGATCGGGGACGGAGGCGCGGATTAGTGGTGGTGGCGGTGTGGATCAGGGAGGCGGCGGCGTCCAGCGAGAGGATCCCGTGCGAGATGGGGATCCGGTGCGGGCAGCGAGAGAGAGAAAAGTGGCTTCTATGGTAGGCCCCACTCAAACTAGCTCCAATAAGCACCTCTTGGAGGGGCTAGTTTTTTTGGTGGGTTAGATGCAACTAGCCCCAATCTAACCCCTCATGTTTGGATCCTTTAGGGCTATTTGAGCCCCAACTAGCTCAAACTAACTCTAACCCTTGGATCCAAACAGGGCCATTAGCTGTTGACATTTGCTTCACTAGCTTTAGCCTTCCACCGCGAACGACCGCATACTAGTACTAGTTCCAAAAGCAAGTAAAGCTAAGTACTGGCAGATTTGAAATGGGCAAGGAAAGATAAAGGCACATGTGGGCAGCTTCCTAAGAATTGATAGGGTCGACGAATAGCTCGAGCTCGTTCGACAGAGCTCGCGAGCTTAGAAACAAGCTCGAGTTCGGGCTCGAGTCTATACGAGCTGAGCTCAAATCGAGTCTGGAACGAGCCAAGTTCGAGTAGCTCGCGAGCCTCGAGCTTTTTTGGCAGCCCTAATATGAAGCATAAATTGGAAGGGCACACGCGCAGCACAAAATATCATATGTTTTGCTATAATGGCTTTGTCGCCATTGGACAGCGTCATTTCGTAGTTAGGGATTTTAGAACGCAAAATCTAAACTGAGAAGCCTCTTGGTTTAGTCTTACAGTTAGACACCACTGAAGCCATTACTCTACTGAAAATATAATACTAGTCCATCAAGCAAATAGGAACCACATATGCTTCAAATAAAATTCAATTAAACTACTCATCCGATCTACGATCCGGTTACATCGTTGTGATCGTAACAATTAAATCTTTATAACAAGATCTCACATGATTATATTATATTTTGATGAAAAACTATAAATTACTTTTAAATATATTTAAATTACTTTTAGATTTCATTAAATTACTTCTTAGACATATAAAAGTAAATTCAATAAAGTCTAAAAGTAATTTACATATATTATAAAAGTAACTTAAAATAAAAAGAAAGTAACTTTGTCACGACATTAGAAGTAAATTCGTTGTAGGGATAAAAATATGACTCTATCTAGAAATTAAATTTAATCAACACATGTAAGTTTAACAATTTTTAAAAGTAACTTCAATGTTAATTGGAAGTAACTTTTGCATGGTTCAGAAGTAACTTTCTATAAATCTGTTTTAAGCATTGATAGTTTTTTTTTCCTTTCACTTTTGTTTTTGTTTTTCATGTAGTATGAGAAAAGAAGATAAAATCTTTGATGGATTGTAAATAACATTGATGGAGTAACTAATGAGAATTAATCATGTATAAGATGTAAAAGTTACTTCCCGATAACTTCCTAACATTGATGGAGTAATAGATTACTTTTAAATTAATAAAATGTTTGAATATATTTAATATGGATCTCGTTTTGTCATATATTTTCAGTGGGGTACAATGATGCAAATAGATCTTAAAAACAAGGTAAAATTTGCTACAGGACAACCAAAAAATGTGTAATTATCTAGGAGACACTGCAAAAACGTGTTTCTGCTGTAGGACACCGCAAAAAATTGGTAATTAGCTGCTGGATACCCGTGGAATTATTTTATTATATCCGGAAGAATTGGAGAGAGAAATAGTTGTGTAAATACGGTTCTACCCTTTGATTTTTTTTTTCTTTTTCTTTTTTCTTCCTTATCCTTCTCTCCCTCTCTCATTCTTTCTCTTCCTCTCTGCTCTCAACCGCCGCAGGCGCCACTTCGCCCAACGTTGTGGCGCTCACCCGCCGTCGCCGCTCCGCTCGCTGCGCTCGCCCGCCGCCTCTCCTCCTGCGGTACAGCGCCGCCAACCACCGCACCCGCAGCCACCGGAATGCACCGAACAGCCGCCTCCGCCCGCCGGCGCCGCCGCCGAGCCTCGCACGGTCACACGGCGGCGCGACGACGCAGCAGAAACTTGCGGAGGGAGGGAGCGGCGACGGGATGGGCACTGAGGGAGGGAGCGCGCGTGGTAACGGCAGCGCGAAGGTAGCAGCGGCGACTGCACTCGAGGGAGTGGCGTTGGCAGCGGCGGCTGCTGCTGCCCTCGGAGGAAACGGCGCGGCTCTGCTTCTGCTGCCCTAGGAGACCACCATCGACGTAGCTTGCTCGTCCAGCATCCAAGCCTGACATCCACCCCCACCTCTCTTTTGACTGCTGCTACCAGGAAAGACTTGCTTGTGTGTGTTGTCAGTTGTCACAAGGTGTTCGACAAACTTGATGTTGGATATGAATATCGGTTGGATTTGGCTATATCTGTGCTTTTGATTCATTGTATGTAAATATATGTGCTTTTGCTTCATGTTCATGTTCTTCCTCTCGCTAGCTGGTACCAGCGGCGCCCCAACCTCCTCCGCCACCCTGGCTGGCCGCCATGGCACCCGGAACAGCTTGACTCTCCGTGCGCCGGCGTGGTCGGCCATGTGCTTCACATCCACCATCGTCTCTTCTCCTCTCTTGCTCTTTGCTTGGCGATGAGAATGTAAGATGTGTTTAAGCCCGTGATTAGTGAAGACTAACTAATTTGAGCCAAGGGCAACCTGGTCTTTAATGATTGTTTCTCTCTCATATTCCTCTAAAAATAATAAAATAATCCTGCCGGGATATCCCCTAGCTAATTACATGTTTTTCTGACGTCCTGTAGCAAATTTTGCCAAAACAAGAATATGTGATTTAAAAGATATAAGTTATTGAAGAGGTTAAAAAAAGACACACACTATTGTATTTTTTATGTTGAATGGGGATTTATACTGGATGGAGTGATCACTTGACAAACCGGTAGCTCTCTAGTCACGTCCATAAATTTAAATGATTGATCAGAATCCAAACAGTCATTTTAATACTCTTGGGTTATATGCATGCATATACTCAGTGGTATTCATTATGTGCAGAATGAATTAATTTCTCTTTGGTTTTGGTGCCACAAGTAATAAGTCAAACATTTTGAATAGAGGGAGTTACAAGTACCAGACGAATTGAATTGAATAATCTTCATCTTTGACCAAAAAAAAAAAGAAACAAAATGTCTTACTATAACTTTATTAGGCAAGCCGATTAATTCCGTAGAAATAAATTATTCCTCGTTTTAATTCAGATTAGTATCACTTGTACAGTTCTACTCGCTTGAAGTCGACACTTCTGTTTCTCTTTTGTCACACGCACACCCACATTAGAGCGTCGCCTCGCCGGCTCGCGGTGTCATGTTCGTTCGAATTTTGCATCGTTTTTCAGCTGGTTGGATGCAGAGGCTGGAGAAGCTCGGGGAAGGGCTGGTCGCCTGGCCGGACGACGTGCACATGGCCGTGGCGGCGACAAGGGACAAAGGGATGCACCCCAAAGGGTCGTGGGAACGGTGGCGCTTCATCGGCGGCAACGGCCTGCCGAGGATCAGGAGCGGAGCTAGAATGATATGGAGAGGGTGTCACCTGTTTAATTTACTCTGTTTTATATGTGGGTATCTAAATTTATATTGAAAGGGTATATATATTATGAAAATAGATCAAATATAGCTATAAATTTTCTTGACCGGGTTTTTGACCACCGTCCTCAATACTTAGCTCCACCCCTGCCGGGGATCTTCCCATCCACTGACGGCGGCATCCATGCTCCTCTGCGACTGAGACACGCTATGGCATCATGGCACGGCATGAGAACAACAAAAAGTCTCGTGCTCTCGCTCCCAGGGTCACAAGACCACAGGTTGATTATCTAATTCTAACTAATTTTAATTTATGTTGTATTAATTAGCATATCGGTCCATAAATAGATAATCAGTAGGATGTCTATTTTTTAAGAAAAATATTTTTAGCTAATAATCATATTAACTATATCTATGTTAAATATTATACATGTTATATCACTATATTCATATTTTAAAGTATTTTCACGTGATGCTAATTTTATATTCGTTGGGAACATAACATGAATTACATTAATGATCAAAGTATGTCAGATCGTGTAAAAAAAGGAGTAAATTGCATCGCCGGTACACAAACTTATCAGGTGAGTGCAATCTAATGCACGAACTTGTAAAATGCTCGTTTTGATGCATAAACTTATCTGGTGTGTGCGGAGGAAGGCAAAAAGGACACTACATTGCTAATCTTATTGATTTAGGGCATATATCTGAGAAGGTTGCTATTAGACATACATCTCTTCAATAAAAAATAGAATAGGATACAGTGATAGTAGAAAAAGATTAGAAAACGAGCAATGGTATGAAGGTTAGAAATATATGAAATTCATCATTTCCATGGTGAAAAATAAAGTAGAGAGCAAATTTATAAATATTGAATGTCCTATGCATACTCATCACACATATGCACGTCACATCCTAATCAACATAATTAACATTGTCAAGTTATTTTGGTCCTCATTCGCATGAACCAGACAAATTCGTGTACTGAAACGAGCATATTTCAAGTTTATGTACTAAATTGCACCCACCTAACAAGTTTGTGTACCACCAATGCAATTTGCTCTAAAAAAAATATAAGCTATACAATTTGGGAATTGTAACGGAGGAAGTATATAATAGGATCCCTAGCAAGTTTTGTTCTAGGTTCGCCCATATCGCTCTTGTGAGATTTGTCGTGTGGCAGATCTGTGATTACTTCTGCGGAATCAATGGTTTTCGATGCATGAAGCTGCGGCTGAAGGCAGAC